TCATTGACTTATCGAGACATTTAGCAGCCGTTGAAATGTTTACACTCCAAAAGTCGAGTGAAAGTCATTTTGGTCGGATAGGTATTCGATCAATTACAGAAAACTGAAGGTCATACTTCATTGCTTCAGGCCAAATTAATAATTAATAATTTAAATATTATATTTTTTTTTACTATGTTGTAATTACATACACAATACAAGTCACAAGAGATTGTGAAGTCGATTAGATTAAAATACATAATAATAGTAAAAATTGATATTTATGATTAATACAATATTTATCTTTTTATAGTTAACGAGTTTGTTCCACAAGATGATTTTCATACAAAAATGCACGAGTTACGTAAGTAAACAAAACTATTTATTTATAATGTCTATACTGTGCTTATGGACGATTTAATGTGTTACAATAGGTAGTACAAATACATTCATACATGATCGTATACATATTAATGATAACATGTGCAGTCATCTCTAGATTGTTACATTGTCATCATTTAGATGATACTGAAACAGATAATTTGCTTCGTCTTGATTTATATCTTCCGGCTCTAAACATATCAGTTCAAACAGAAAAACCTAATATACCATATTTCAGTATAAGCTATAATTTTATAAAAACCATGGTGATTACTGATTATGTTTCAGTTAGTTACTATAATTAGACATATATTTATTGGTGCCAAGAACTATATGGTTTAGATTTAAATAATCTAAAGTCTTTCATTTTTAAAATGTATTTTATGAAGTATTGACTTTGTACATCCCAATGATATCATTTATATAAATATACAATTTGTTTTACTAATGAATTATAATTTATAGATCCTTGTTTGAGGGAAAACAATATAGCACATTTTAATTTTCAAATATAACACACCAAACCAAAGTCATATATTATTTTCAAATATTTGAAAATAATGTGAAAATCAGATGAAACAAGACTTTAAAAAATTGTTCAAAGAATATCCAAAACTCAATAACCGCGAATAGTACATTTTTCTGAAATATCATTAGATCAAAAACTCCTACTGATTCCCTCCACTAACGTTCAACATATTTTTTAAATTATATCAATTCTGTTTTATTGTTAGAGAAAATTAAATTCATTTGTTGATGACTGAAATTGTGTTAGAATGATTTAATTAATTAATGAATCAGAATTACTTCAATTAAGATTCAGTATGTTAGTGTTCTAATAAAGAAACTTTAATAATTATCAATAAGCATCAAATGTATTAGGATTTATTAGAAGTCACTTCAACGACTTAACTAATACTTTCGCTTTAAAATCATTGTACCAAATCCTCACTGGTTTGTTTCTGATTTGACTATAATTCCAATTTTTGGTCTACTAATCAATTAGATTTATTTAAATAAATAGAGGTTTTACAAAAAAAACACGAAGCCGCATATTTTTTTTTAAACCGCGTATTTATGCTACTTTATACTATTTTTTTCTCTTGATAATTGACAGTTAATGGAAGCACACCAAAAAAATCTTTTTTATACAACTTCTATTTATTTAAATAAATCGAATTGACTAGTAGACCAAAAAGTGGAATTATAATCAAATCAGAAACATGTATTATTACATTTTTTATTACCAAGATACTTATTTAATATTTTAGAAGTAAGATGTAAGACATTGTACTTAAATGTATAGTATGTGTAATTATGTGCCAATGTCGCAGTGAATAATATCTCATATTATATGTTATATTAGATGCATCGTTAAATTATCTACCAGGTACGTTAAATAATATTATCGCCAATAATCTATAATATTATAATTATATGCTTAAAATGAATATACTTTATAATTCATGGATGGATATGTATTACTTCATATTATCGATCTATGTAATTGTAAAATACTAAAATGTAACATTTATGAAGTAACAATAATCATTATAGCTTGTATCAAATTCAAATAATTTCAGTTCCACTGATGTTGTTTGTTGAAAATTATTCATTTGAAAATCCATTAGGTAGGTAATTATTTAATTGTTTATAAAACAGTTAATCATAAATCTCAAACTTTATACAAAATGTATAGTTATATTATAAAATATGCTCTACATCTATGACTCATTTATATAATTATATTCAACTAAAAATAAAAAAAATTAGTTATTTTTTAATCGAATTGTTATTCATTTATTTATTTTTTTTAAGTGCATTATTCAACACCAAAATTGTTTTGTAAAGCATTCATTAATAGAAATACTATAGGTAAGTACTTGTTCAAAATATTTTAGTCCTATCACAAATTCACAAATCATAAAATAGAATTGTGTATTTTCGTATTAGATGGACCTGTAATAGTAAATGATGAAGATGATGAAGATGATGGAGATGATGAAGATTAAGCAATAGTAGTACAAGGTATGTAATTGATTATATTAATAAAATAAACTGCATAAATATATTATATGATAAGTTGATGGATGATTAGCTTATATTCGATAAAAAAGTATAAATATTCTTACTTGTTATGCATTGATTTATAAAACTTGTTTCAATGAGATGTGTAGTGCGGTTGATTCCTAGTGTTTACGCCCCCGTATTTAAATTAAATTAATTTAAAATTTGTATTTTTGCAATGGTTTACTGCACCTCGTAAGTTACAACGTTTCTAATATTACCAGACGTCACACATGTATTCCTCTAAATAAAAATTATTTGTAATATTGTGTAGAATAACATAAAAGTTAAGTCTATACAAACTAATAGAATATCTAAAACATTAAAATAAACAAAATATAAGAAAAGTCTTAAATTCTTAAAACCAAATAATAATCAAATTATCAGGGGTACATTTAATTGTTTAATAGATTAATTTTTTAATTAAAAAACATTTTATGGCAAATTGAGACTTTGTTTGATTAATAAAAAAATATTAACTGTTATCCTGGTTATAATACATATTACGTAATGAAGTATCTTTTATGTATAAACTCAAATGAGCCGTTAATTTTTACTATAATCAAATGTTGGTGTTAAATACAAAATTTATAAAACTATATTAAAGCAAACTGTTTTTTATTTTTTTTAGATACACTTACAACTCCATCCGAATATTGTATTTATTAAATTATATTGACACTATTCATTAATAAATAAATAATATTATTCTACAATTTAACTATAAAATAATTATATAAATGCACTTGTAATATACTTTAATAAATAAGACTTACATTAAAAATGTGAAATGATTTTGTTAATAATACATTTGTACACAAAATACAATGCTAATCTAAAAATGTAGTTCAAGTGAAGATATATTTTAAACGATATTTTTTAATGACACAATTGGTTTATTATACGATTTGAGCCTATTGTGGTATTATGGTTTTCACGCACATTACAGACTCATTAAACAATGATATTTTGATTATCTCACATAATTTCTTAATATTAAATTATAATTATAATTATAAATATTTGTTTGTTGCTTTTTTTGTTTTCCCGAAACGGTATAGGTACAGGTACCTAATTCGCACAGGTACCAAAACCCAAATCATGGATAGTTTACCAAGATTGTAATAAATAATAATATGTATGAGTGGGCAATGTCACAACACATGCCATCTGGTGACTTTAAATGGGTTGGGCCCAAGTTAGACTGATTAGATTCTTTGATGCCAACATCAGATATGGGCAGAGTGTATGAGATGGACATAGCCACGCCACATAGGTATCATATATTAATGAACTACATGACTTACATAATGATTTTCCATTTTTACAAGAGAACAAAATTCCTTCTGGTTCAAAAGTAAAAAAACTTATGACAGTACTCTATTATCACAACCTGCAGCAAGCTATAGCAAATGGATTATTTGTAGATTTGTAGAAAAAGTACACAGATTTCTTGAGTTTCGACAGTCATTGGCTTCAAAATAATACATACAATTAAACAACAAAATGAGAAAAAAAGCTGTTAATGAGTTTGTTCAAACCGGAGTCGTTTTTCACGCCGGCGACAAGCAGTGTGTCCGTGTGACACCTGTCTTGTCACTCCGCTGGCCATAAGACGATGAAGTGCGCTTGCGCGAACTTCTGGCGACCGGGGCACTGACCACCAGTTGTTCCGCGGTCCGGCGTCGTTTTGTCTTCCTGTTTTTTTGCTACCACCGCCGTCCGGTATAGTTCACCGCGACCGTGGGTGTCGTTTTTGTATCATTGTACCACGTTGCCTGTGTGTCGACCGACAACCTTTCGTTGTACCTTGTACCGGGTTTGATTTCCCATCACCCGTCGTACGTATTTACACGTGCTCGCATTTTTGCTTGCATAATATTGGATTGCGCAAACTATTATCATCGCTGTCAATCGTCGTGGGATTCCGCCATAGGAAATGTACGAAAATAACCAGTGCATAATCAGTACAGATAAATGTAAGTAGTTCTTCACAATATGCATTTCTGATTGAACACTTATACTTTTCACATCCAATAAATCCTAGAAAATAAACAACTTTCTTTAATTAGAAATAGAATAATCAGAATAATTTACAATATACATAACATATAACATTATTAACTATTTATTAATTCAATAATATTAAATTTTGATAGCAAGTTTTTATAATGAAATTACCTTATAATGATTAATAAATAATTCGCTCTTTTTAAAATCTAATTTTATAAAATTGTCTACAGCTTCAGCCATTTGAAAACTTTCAGTTAAAAACCTTTTCTTTAAGTTGATAATTATACAATCCAATATTTTAAAATAGCCATTTACACGATAGTATTTTTCGACTTATGTACTATTTGTTTCAATACTATGAAATGATTCTGCGGCAGCAGTAATTGTTAGAATGAAATCTTCAAAAACATTGGGTTCACGTCTTATTCGCTTAGATGCTAATAATAAACATATTTAATAAGCTTAACTTAATAATATTAATTTAAATAAATAAATACTTAAACAAATATTTTTAGTAGGTACACAAACACAATACTGACCTTGAGTTTGAAAAGGTAGTATCAGTTTAACATCATTTTTATCACAAAAGGTTTTATGTCTAACCACAAGTCACTAAATCCCATGGTAGATCTAGCATTCTCAAAACTTAGTATTACGCTGTTTATTAGATTAGCCGCTTCACCCAATGTAGCAGCTTTATCTTGAAACTTGTTGCTAAGTATATTTATAGAGCATAATACATGTTGCAAAACGAATAGAAAAACAACAAATGACCCTTTTTGCATTATTGAAAGTATACCTATAAAAAAATATTCAAAACATATTAAATTAGTCAGGTACTTATAATTGGACAATAGTATTAATATTTAATTAAAAATAATATGAATATACCTATAGCTTCATTTACATTTCTGTCCAGTTGATTATCTATTTCTTCTTGCAAAACTGCAATAATTGCTTCATAATTGTTTATAACTGACTCACAGTTTTTCCATCTACAACTCCACCTCGTATCACTCAGAGAATTTATTTTTGATATTTTAATTCCTAATTTCCTTTGCATAGTAACTAGAGTTTTATTTTTAGTAAGATGAGAAAAGTGCTTATACAATGATTCTATTGTGTTGAAAACAATTCTAGTTTCCTAAAAAATAAAAACATTTTAACAACAATTTTCCCAAAAAGTAAAATATTGTATTGTATTTTTTATTACCTTTAAAATTGTGCACATATCAATGACAACAAAGTTCATCCGATGAGCCATGCAATGGGTGTAAATAGCATAGAGAAATTTGTTTTTTACTTTGGATTGAACACCATTAAATTTGCCAGACATGACACTGGCGCCGTCATATGATTGTGCTACAATGTGATATTTATCCAATTGGTTCTCAGTAAGGAATTCAAATATTTTAGCACATAATGATTCGGCAATATTTGAATTGAAAGTTAACATGCATATATTTATTATTATTTATTACAGTAACCTTCAGTGACCAATTGTTTGAGGAGGCTATTTTTTCTATTTATACGTTTTTAGGGGGCTAAGACCCCTCAAGCCCCCCAATTTCCACCTATGATGCCATCTATGTTTGGGTTTAAAAACGAGAATATAAGCTAGAGTATCAAACTCATTGACTTTTACTTATAAATGTATACATGAGGTCAATTTTGTCTTTGAAATGGCTTTCACATCAACCACTCACTTACATATTACTGAAGCTTTGACTTCAGTACTTTCCAAAACTATATATCCTAACATGTTTAAGCTTATGCAAGTTGCACTTACTCTTCCTATTAGTTCGTCAACAAGTGAACGTAGTTTTTATGCGATAAGAAGGATTAAAACATGGCTGAGGTCATCCATGTTACAGAATAGATTTAATAACTTAGCTATAATTAGTATTGAAAATGATATTTCTAAAAAAAATTGATAAAGAAGCCATACTAGATTTATTTGCACAAAAAAATATATATATTATTTTAAAATAAATATTTTTTAGTTTCATTACAAAGAGTTTTCATTGTTAAAATTCAATTATATGTTAGGGTATCTAAGTTATATGCATAGTATACTATATCTATCTAAAATAAATCACGCTTAAGTTTTGAATGATGCTTAGAGTAATATTATATATATATTTTATTGCTTTGATATGCAAAAAAGTATTTTTAAATATCAGCCCCCTCTAAAATTATGGAGAATTTCCACCTATGGATGGCATACTATGTAAAATTTCGAAGTTCAGTATTCCATGGCATTTTAAATACAATCTGAAATCATTTGGATCAACTGAAATGTCGAATGTTAACTTGTTTCCTAATTTTTCATTATAAACATTTATTTGTTCCATAACTCGATGCTTGATAACTTTAATTTTATGAATCTTTCTCCCAGTTTAATATAACACATCATAAGATCATTATTATTATTATTATGGTCTACTACTTGTATAGCAAATTTATTATTATTTTTAATGATATTCGGGAAGGAATTAAATGTTTTTAATCATAATAATTCTATTTCTGAGTACTTGCATAGGTTTATTTTATAGACAGAAAATAATTCGTAATTAATATGATAGTGTTCCCGGTTAAACCTAAAGTAACTGACTCGTACAATACAAAATCTTAGGCTCTAATTTAATAATGAGATCCGTGACGTTTAATATGCAGAACAACTGTCAATGTCTCGTAATCGTAAAAAATAATCATAAAAATATCTTGACTGCCATGAGAAACCATGTAATAATAATAATATTATAGTTAACATTTGTAACTGCCGCATGCTCAGAATATTGAAAATATGTCACCTCTCATTTTCGCTTTCCTACTAACTATATAGCTATTATAGCTAATCTATGGTATGGCAATATGCTACTTATTGTATACAATCTACAGACTAATAACTAAATTATAATTTATTTTTTCAACAATTCCATTATTAAGTACATTGAATGTACATTCTAAAGTCGACGGAATCGATAGATACGCTGAATGTTAGCAGTGTTTTATATTCATTATAAAAGTAAAATAACACTTTTGAAATTGTATTGCTAATATCTTCTATATCATAACACCTTTTTTCCAAAATAAAATAAAAGTTTTTATGAAATTAAAATCCACAAACCAAGTTATTCTACTAAAAATAAAAATCCTTAGTGGTTAATTTTGCCAAATTATTTTGCGAAGTATGGTTAGTTACCATTTTAGAAGTTATATGTTCGGTAGGCCGTAATTTTCCGGAAAATAAATGATCCGGATTGATAAAACACCGGAAAATAAAATTCCGGAA